AATTTTCAGCTTACCTAAAGGCTGGAGAACCCATGGGTCTGGCTAAAGCCAAAAACACGTGGATCTTCATCGGGTTTTCTCTACTAGGGCTACTCGTGTTGCTGCTGGTGCTCGCATTTTTGATCCTCGGGTTCACCAAACGCAAAAGGGTGCAGCAGCCTCAAAACCCCGCGACCGATAACAGAAGGCATGTCTTTGAGCGGGGGGTGGGGCACGAGAACAAGGGGTTGGTGCGGGACGATGAGAAAAGGGGCGGAGACTCGCCGACTTACGTCAATTACGGTGATAAGCACGAGGTGGCTGTCGAAGTGAGAGCAAGAAGTTCTTTCAGCTCCTCTAGGTAGGGAAGTTTCCTTTATGGTTAAAGCAATCTTGGTACGGTTTCTTCAAAGTTCTAGCAGTTTGGATATATCGCCGCTGATGACGTTGGGAAAGAAACACAGGGTGCCTCCGAAAAAGCCACCCAGGCCTAAGGCAGCGCTGAACAAGACCGTTCCTCTGAACGTTACGGCGGTAAGGAAGCTGCCTCCGGAGGTTTTCGACTCGGACAGCGGCAGCAGCAGGAAGGATTCACCGGATACCGCATTTACGGAATACGACGTGTTGAGTCCCAAATCGTATCTATCGATGCCGTCGGTGAAATCGTTCCCCAGGTCAGTGAGGCTGCTCTACATTAAAAAAAAATGTTCAATTTATAACACTTGTGGTATCAAAGTAATCAAAATCTTCTTCACCAAGTTTTCGTTGAAAAATATTAGGCCAAATATTTATTGTTTATGAAAATTTTCGTTACTTTGACCAGAGATTGACCCAACACCCTATACGGGAAGTAAGGATATTATAAAACTCCGTTCTAGATGCAGCATTCCCGAACCTTTGGCTAAAGTCTTGGAACCGGTGAGCATGACTCACCTAGATATGCCCGACGACGAGCCAGTGGGGGTTTTAGAAAGACATGGCAGCGTTGGGACGGCTCACGATCCCGGAGTAATCGGACCTGTAGTTTGGAACCTTCATTGCGAGCGTTTACAGCATGGTGATCACCAACAAAATTGACGAGGAAACCGAAGTTCAAAAATTTGGATTTTTAGGGGTCAGCGTAGACGAAGGCATCAACGACTTGAAGTCTGGCAACGTATCCAGGATGCGAAAAAGATTTCACGATCTGTTGGATGACACGTTCAGTCTCTTCGGGAGTAAAAGGGATACGCCGGTATCCGGGCTGTCTAGACCACCGATTGAGGTCAAAAGTCACTCGGCAAATGAAAATCGGTAATTATAATTAATATCCGACAGCTTTTTATCCACGAGACAGTGTAGGCAACTGCCTACGGACCCGTGTTATATTATACCACGTACTGATGTTACACCTGTGGTAATATCCCTTCATAATATTGTCGGTTTACGATTCGCCTAAAGAGTATTAATTTATTTTAAAATTGCGTGTACTAAACACCACGTTTCACCAACACGAAATTTTTGGGGCTAATGTTGGTTCTCTTTAATAAGTCTTTCTTAATTACGATGAAGTCAGTCGGCTTTGAGAGATTGACATTCTGAATGATTTTTTATCCACTTCATCAAATTATTTTCAGCGAAGGAGAACAACACGCGATCAAGCCTAGACCAAAGACTACGGATCCGAGGAAACCGGATCCGAGTGCCGTCGGACCTAGGGGAGCATGGTCGAGCACCGCTCCTTCGCCGTTGGTCAGGCCTTTGAGTGCCGGAGTAGTGTACGCTCCTAGGGTGAACGTCGACCACGTTCTAGCCGAAGGGAGGTTTAGACCGAGCGACCCTGCCATACCCCTTATCGAAGCCATAAAGTCGGAAATTGAACGGGTATCACTGCCAGGAAGCACCACTAATCTGGACAAGCAATAGGGACGCGTTTTTTTTTTTTAAATTGTAGTGCCAGTTTGTCAGCTAAAATTGCGGCCTCAATTCCAGTGGGAATGACCAGCGGCGGACGTGATGGCCAGCGATTTTATCCTGAGTGGTTCGCGAAAAGATCTTAAAATTTTGTGAGATAAATTAAGTTGTTGTTGTCGATTTTTTTTTAATTATACAAACGACCTTTCCTCGATCGCACGCTGCATACAAGGTGTCCGGGAGAATGAGTCCCTAAAGGACGCCGTCGTAAATTGGTTTTTCTTGAACAACTTTCCTAACTAAGTGGTACACTTAAACGCATGATTTGTTAACACCCTGTACACTAAAAACTTAACAAAATATTTTTGAAAAATCAACATTTGTTCGAATTTGTAGCGCGGCCCTGCAGAAAAAATATAATGTTCTTGTATCGTATTATATATACATCCCAGAGACTTTCCCGGACACCCTGTAAAATATGGACAGCCCGAGTGGTTGTTCTCTGTTCTAGTCTTTGTTGTTGCCTCCTGTAGACCCTTAGAATACTTTACGTTTCTTGAATTTTTACATACGCGTTTGTTATTGTTTTGTATTACGTGTTCTATTTACGTTTTATACAATCAGTATTAAATAAATAAATATATATATATAGCAATCGTGGTACATGTTTTAATAGCGGAAATGTCCGCCGTTAATTGTTATTCTGCGTGTAGAATATTACTCACTGGTTTTCGTGTGGGTACAACAAATTACGAATATCAAGCGACATGAGTAACCAACTAGAATTTGAAATTTTTAGTTGGGATATTGTACGAAACCCCGGGGTTCACAAATGCTGAAATAAAAACAGAATAACGTTAAATTCAAAAAAGTAAACGCGAATCTCGCATATTTTGTTTTGTGGAAAATATTACAACACGCACGCGTCTTTTTTATATAAGTTTTTGTTCGATAATACAAAGGAGATAATCCTGAAGAGTAAAAAAATTGTTTTCGGGTAATTCCACCCTATCGCATTTGTACCATAAATGTGATTAAGAACAAAACTATCGCCATTGCATTAATTATAGTCGATTAAATTAAGAATGCGGTTGAACGAAACAACTTTGTACTTAGGGAACCTGTTAATCTGAATTTTGAAACTACTTAATGCTTCGGTGATTTACAAGGTTACGTTAAAGTCTCCCGAAAGATAAGCGGAAAGGGTGTTATAGTTTGGACCTATACTTCCAACTTTTTAACATTTAACATTGACTTTTCTTGTGTTAAGTTATGCATTTTTTGATTTTCTATTCGATTTAAAAAATGCTGTATTTGTAACTTCACACCATTACGTTTGACACCGGACTCGTATGTTTTGAATGTTGTATTTATTAATTTTGTGTTTAATAAATAATTTTTAATAAAAAGTATGAACATAAGTACCGATTAGGATTCCGATGTAATGGTTTGAGTAATCGATAAACCACATGAGACCTTTTCTGGTGAACATTAAATTGTCTGTAAGGATAATTGAAAACATATCAGGATAATTATTTTTCAGTCAATAAGAAAATTCAGAACCAAAAATTATTTTTCTTTAAATTCTTCAATCTTTCACTTCGAATATCTTTGAAATGGTTAATTTGCCAAAAAAGTATAATAGAACATTTTTGTAGAGAGTTCAATTCCCATAAAAAAATTATCAAAAAAATTGGCTTAATGATCTATTAGTGATAAGATGTGATTATTTATATATTATGAGGATAATCTTCCCATTAATAATAAGAGCTCATAAGTGGAAAGTACTTTCTAGAGGTAACTAGCAACTAGTTTTTTTGTGTCAGATCCAAAAAAAAATAATCTTTTTTTTTACTCACCTTAATCATCACGTCTTAGAGGCCATTTTCAGGTCTACAGCGGGTATTAATTATTAAGGTTACAAAAATTGGAATTAACTCGAATATCAAATCACAAACAAAATCAACTTGAATATCAAAACCGCCCATTTGACAATTTACACATTTCGTGTAATTAGTAATAGTTATGTACTCATTGCAAAAGTTAGTAAAGAGAAAAACTAATTTTTATTTACTGCATCTAACTACGAGAGAAATTATATTTGCCTCTTTCATTTTTTGATACTTCTATGTTTCGTTTCTTTCTCTTGTCAACTCAAGTCCTCTTTTACAACACGCCACAAAACATTATTATTATTATGCGCACTTCTAGTTCTCAGCGTTAGCCATTGATTTTAGTTTTTGGATTTTTTGGCAATTTTAAGAGATTTCTGGGATCGTAATCCCTACATCAAGCCGAAAAGGATTGATGAAAATTTATTGTCATATAATATCGAATGCAAATCTACTCAACTCAAAAACATCAAGTAAAATACGTCCTGCGTAATATCATAGATATATTAAAAAACCGACAATTATGGATGTTTCAATGTGAGATGGCGTAACACGTTCTCACTAGCCCGTTTTTTAAGACGAACTTGGTGAAGATTACGTTGAAAACGCTATATCGTATTTTGCTTCAGAGGTGTATCAACAAGTTCAATTTTTTGAGCAACTTACAATTACTATGAACCATAATGCTACCAGATATATACAGGGAACCCCCGTCAATGACACTGTTAATGCAGGAACTGTTGAAACGAATTTGAAAACAATGTCGAAAAGGCCTATTCAATATGCGAATGTGCGGACATTTGAAATCTAGTTTGCAACCAATATGACCTAGCGCCCTTCAACAACCTGTAAGTCAAGTCAACAGGTTTCAGTTTAGACATTCTTACTGCAGTATTTTCTCAAAATTTGCCCAGATCTTGTTCAGTGTTCTGAAAAACGAGTGAAGTGTGTGGGATTAGTGTTTTGGTTAGTTTTAGTTTTGATGTTGGTTTGGCTAGTTTAGTGTTATATTCGGAAAATGATTCCGTCTTCTATGAAAATATCATTGTCGCCTGAGACACATCAATTTTTACCATTCTTAGAGGAATATATTTTCTAGTTATGAACGAACAAAAAAGGGTGACGCGTGTGTCCGCCTACTTTCCAAAGAGCCTAAAATTTGCACGCTCGCAATGTCGTAAATCCTAACATTACCCTCTCCATACGTCCACTTTATAATGCAATTCGGTACCGGATCGGACAGTCGCTTAATCGTCCCGTTCGGTAAGAAAGTCGCCGGTAACGATCAATCGCGATATCACGTCTCCGGGTGCACGTAATTTTTGCAACATCCCAATTAGCGATACTTTGCAGTTGCCCGTGGAAAACCGAATGTAAAAAAGGATAACCGCGTGCGGCACGGATTCCCCCAAACGCTAAAAAAATCCAGCCGATCGCCACGGATTTTCAGTCAGTATCGTTCGCGAGTCGGATTAGTGTACCCACTCCGACGAAAACTTGTAACACCGAATAAAAAAAACGATCTTAAATGTAAATGTATAAAATCTTCAATGTCAAACGCGAGAGTGGATTTTTCAAACGACGCGATGGTGTTTCTGACCTTCTTCGCGACTATCTTGATCGCGTTTTGTGACGGGGTTGATTTTGTTTACCCCGAAGACCCCTACAGAAGAGGCAGTAGCGATTATTATCATCACGGTCACCATCAACATGACCATCGTAATTACGGTGGTTACGGTACCCGTGACGGAGGATCTTACGTGATCACCGAAGATCCGAGCGTGGACAATAATAACATAGGGGTGAGCAGTAGTCTAACGCGGTTTATAACTTAATGCCACATTTTAAGTGATGCATGGTAGATTGTGTAAAAACGGGGTTGGGGGGAGAATGTTTGACTTTTATTAGTTCTTTTTATCCCCATGGTTTGTGATTAATGCAAAACAGTACTACGATTGCCGCTAACAAAACAGCCGTGACTAAAAGGTGGCTCGCGACCGTGGATAATGAACCTGAGATCTTGAAGTAAGATTTCCGTGCATTTTTGAGTAGGGTGTGGATTTTATATATCTGGTCACCTCATAACCTCAAAGTTATTTATTAAATTTTACAGCATTTGCGTATTGCTTTCTTTAGTTTTTCTTGTAAGAAAATCACGTTTAACAATAAGTGTTTTTTTTTTAGATACCGGTGGATTTTGCGAAAAACCTGAGCGAGTATACCGTGTCGGACTTACTTTTGAATTTCGTCGATGGTCCCGAGGATTATGACAAACCCCTTCTCATCAGTACGTACAAATCTTAAAATTAAAACATCGACAAATTTCGGTCATTTATTTCGACATCTAATACAAACTTTTACAAAAATATAACTTTACATAAATACAAACGGGAGGTTGCTCAATTTTATTGTCGCAACCACGCCCTTTACTATTATATCTGTTACGATGGTGAACATCTATAGTGCTCTTATTTATTGGACTTACCGCAACTGAATTCGGGTTGCACGAGTCAAACTAAAAAAACATTCGGGAAAAAAATATAGGTAATAATCCTGGCAGATTCCTTAAAAAATGGACGATTTTTTAAAATAAAATCGTAAACATTTGGGCTGCACCGCAACGTAAGTTAAAATAATATAACGAAATAGCTACTTCATATTTATCCCAATATGTACAAAATACGTTTGCACTGTCCAGGTACGAATATTATAAACACATATAAACAAAAATATGAAAGAGAAGGAAAGGCATTGCACAAGGGTTTTACAAAAATCACGGATAATAATAAGCCCTACATCACCAGAACGAATAAGCTATTGTAGAGATTCAACTCAAAAGCCGCTACGTACATATGTACATAACAATTGGAAGCAAAAACAAACGTCAATTTTTTAATTGACATGAAATCCAAACAGCCGACTTCAAAGTTTCTTGCAAATCAAATTATCATTTTTGACTAGACTGTTAGCTCAAGCAGAAAAAATTCCAAAGAAGTTGAATGACTTGGTCTGCAGCTCGATTTTGAAATTGCCAATCTTCATAAAGGTCTTACCTGTTAAAAAAAAGCAGAAATAACGAAAAATTTTCTCAAGTTAGACAAAAAAAATTAAAATAACTGAAAATTTTAGCACACCATTATCGAGTGGCACACCAGTTAAAGAGTTGCAATTCCCGACAAGTCAATACAGAAAGGAGGAAAAAAGTTAGAATCAACTGTTAAAGAAAGACAAAACCAAATAAAAAAAACTAGAAAATTCTAACAAACAAATAGCCAAGAGGCAATTCCGCTCTAACAATAACTGAAACCGATAAAGTTACATTCAAAAATGTCGCGCTCGCAAACACCACATCAGTCTTCCGGCTCACCCGACTCGAAGTCTTTCAGCAGGTTTCTGCGACACTTCATGTTACCTTCGTAAATAATAAGGTAAATTGTACTGTCTTTCACGTCCTTATTGTATGAGTACGCTATGTGAAGTTTCGCTGGTCTCTTCCACTTCGTTTCGGCCTGCAACTTCTTAATGCTCGGTCTGCGAAATTCGACATACCCTTCCGTTGTGAGGTACTTGACGTTCACTTCCGGCACGTCATTCTCCATCTCTAGTACCTCGGTACTAGCGTCGACGTTGTGGCTGAATTTTAATTTTTTCATGGCAGAATCCACTACGGGGCGGTGATTCTCAACGTCGCGTTTCTCCTGGTTCTTTTTGACGCTGCCGGATGCGCCGGGCTCCTTCTTGGGCGTCCTCGGAAGTGACTTGTTAGGACATGGACGGGGAGGACTCATGAACGAACGCAGTATCCGTCTGGGGTACCTGAAAGTCCGCCGGGTTGACGCAAGACGTCGCGACCTCTTCCGAAACAACTCACTTTGGTGTTTTGATGACGTGGGTGTCCCTGAAACCTATACTGTTCGCGGGCAAGGCCCTCGAGAAGTAATGCTTCACGGGGGTTACGTTGACCTTGAGGAAGGCCGATACGTTTTTTTGACCTTTGACCGTCTGACCGAACCAATCGAGAACGATGTCGTCCGAGAAGTAATATTTGACGTATTGCTTCGAGTTCTCCATCAGGTCGCAGAAAAAATCTTTGAGATTTTCAGCCTCGGTCAGTTTGTCTTCTTCGGTTGATGGATCCATGTCGCTTCTCGGCCGCTAAAAATTCGAAAGGTTCGGATGCCACTAGAAAATAACTCCATGGCGAGTCACAAGCACAAGAGAACGTTTCCGAAATATAATAAGATGTTTGTCTTATTGTTCATAATATAATTTTATTTTAGAAATTCTTACAATACTAGGTACTACCACACAAATGTAATTTTGCCACATGTGACGTCCCAGGACATCGGCCAGCTTCACAAACAATTTGCATATTACAAATTACATACAATTTGCATGCCTACCATAAATCTTTTTATAACTTAATCATTAAGCGAAAATGATAGGAATTTGTGTAATTATTTTCAAATATTTTACGCAGACCCTTTTATATACTTTGAAGCCATGTCTGAACGTTGTAGTATTGAATACTATTCCTAATTTTGTTTTCTACAAAAAAAAAAGTGTGAAATATTTTTCGTTAAGAATGAAAAAACTGATGTTTAAAAATCACGAATGCAAAAAAGCGTTATAATTAAGAATTTTCGATTAAAAATGTTTGTTTTTTAGGTACCCGATTCGGGGATACAGATGAATCGAACTCCGAAAGAAGTATGTAACACTTTAGAGCAAGGTATCCGCCAATTACGTGAAAACTGTCGCTTTCAGATTCCGCAATGATACCCAAACCTGCAAAGTGCATGCCCGAGCTGCAAAGCGTTAAAATCGCGGAGTCCCACAGCCCCAATGTCCTATATATACCCCAATGCACGAGGGTCGAACGATGCGGAGGCTGTTGCTCGCACGTTTTGCTCTCCTGTCAGCCCACGAAAACCGACACAGTGACATTTCAAGTCAGTAAAACTACTTAGACTCGATTAAGCTTAGCTACAGGTTGTTTTTAGGTTATGAAAACCGAGTACACGGGAGCCAAAAAGCTAAAATATGTGGGTAAGGAGCTCATTTTGGTCGAGAAACACGTCTCATGCAAGTGCCACTGCAAAGTTAAGGCCGAAGTAAGGCGTTTGCAAGTCGCTCTCTTGATTGCTGACTCTAACCCTTGTTTTTCCAGGACTGCAATACTTATCAAGAGTACCGAGAAGGTGAATGTAAGTGCGTGTGTAAAAACCTTGACGAGGAGAAAAAATGTGCAAAATCGAGTTCTAAAAAATTATGGAACCCTGACGTGTGCGCCTGCCAGTGCCGCGAAATCATGCCCTGTTCAACAGGATACACTTTCGATTTTAATGAGTGTCGATGCATCCCGGCACAGGTCAAACGCAGGTATATTTTGACGACAGACGAAAATCGACCAGATGAGCCCCTCGACTGATCATTTTGAACGTATATTTACTGTATGTAATACATTTTTTTAGGTGCACTGTAGTTTGAATTACTTACCTGGTAATGTTCCACTGAAAGTATAGGTTAATGTTGTTTACATCATGGCCACTATGTCGCCTAGTAACCCAAATTCGAAACGATGCGTGTTTTTCAGTAAAACAATAGCAGTCATAAAAAGAAACTTAAAAAACGTGTCGCCAACCCCTTAAATATGGTAAGACATTTCGTAACCCTGACAAACTACCATTGTTTTGAAAAATCTAATGCGTTGCCTCGTTTGAAACCAATGTCGACTTCCATTCGCCTGAAATACTGAAAAAGAAACACCCAACCCGAAACTCAACGCGTTTGTCTATTAAATTCGATAAACAAGACGAACTTCATCACAGTTCGTTTCCAATCACATAACACCAATGTTTCCATCAATTTTAATAGCGTCAAAGCGTCATTGTAAAATACACACGCCGCAATAGATGGCGCAGCTTCGCAGAAATCTATATTGGTTAACCTTGAAACAAATCACTAAGGCCGAATGGTTTGACTAGAATTACACCACAATGCGGTCGCAATTACCAACCAGACCGGTAGATGGCAACAGTTGCGCTTTTTGTTTGCTTTAATAGAGTAAGCGCAGGAATTTTAATTTCCCGTTAGAAAATGTTTTGCTGTTCCTCATGGAACATGTTTTACGATTTCCTAAATCTCAGTTTGCTTAATTCCAAAATAGTACATTAATTAGCAAGCACAAAGACGGAATAAACTTTTACTTAAATTTACTAGGCGTGTGAGATTTGCCAAAGTCTAAACCAGTTTCAGACGGAAGCGTATTATAACGAATATGTAGGTCTAATTGATAGCTATAATAGTTACATGGTGGTTTCAATATTTCGGACTTGTAAATACCCTAACTTTGTGCTAAAATTAAATCATTAGGTGAGTGAAACGCATATTATAACGAAGTGGTTACAATGAATTATTTTCAACGTAGACGGGTCATAAGTCTTTCAAACCCACTATGTTCACAACATAATAATTTTATCTTACTCGTTCATCCACGGCCTACTGTCGCTATGTGAACAGGAAGTCGCCGGACACTGATTGCGTCTCATGTTTCTTATGTGACGTCGTGGGTTCCCACACTACGTATACGCGATGCGTAATAAATAGCGAAAAAAGTTGCCACCACCGGTTTTTATTCCTGATGTTGCTTCAGCTTTTTTACGCGGGTGCGGATATCGTTATAAAAGCGCTTAAAGCGATAGAAAATCTAAGTCTCCTATGTTTAGGTCGATAATAACAAATATTCGTTAGTCTGTATCTTTGCGGGCCCAACCCCGATGCCGGAAAACGACCGATCCCAGAAATTCTAAGTTAAAGAGCCGCGGAGGACATAAGTTAATGATATTTCAGCGTCAAACCGTTAAAAAACGATTTGTTGACGCATCAAAGCGTGAATCCTCAGTTGCTACGACCAAATGGGTCCTAACCCTGGTTTGTTGACAGTCTGTCACACGCTAGGGCACAGATAATTAGAAAAACCTCGCTACCAAAACGTCTGATCGTCTATGTTATGGTTTTCCACCGCAGTCTTTGCGTCGCTCAAATCGTTTTACTTTTCCTCTGAAATCTGTCCCTTCCGCCACGAAAACGAAAGAAAAACAAAAAGATGGAGGATGCAATCAAGAAAGTGTACACGCGGGTCGTGTTATTAAAAGAACATAATTATGTTTTTCGTGCGTCCTCATCGCGCACGGCATTAAAATGAAATAACGTACCTTGGAATTATAAATTACGGCCGCGCTACCTGGAATTAGGCAACGCTACCGAGATACCCGTTGCTACGCGACGTGATTGGTTATACAGGGCGAACACCGCACGCGCGCAATTTATCTCGTTTTAGTTTTTTGACGAATATTTTTATTTGAGATACTATACTTTCAGAATAGTCGTATTTTCTTTTCAGGTGCAAACGATACCTACGATATCTAATTAGATATTTCTTAGCAGAAACAATCCCTAACTAATACTTGACAAATATCCAACATATACCTGATTGGTGATTACGCGTGCGCGGTTGGAAATACGTTCAGGATGGACAGTTCTCCGCGAAGGGCTTTTGTCGATGTTTTTTTTTGCAATTCCTCGATTGGCGGAAAATCGCAGTAAAATCAAAGAAGTTAAAACTTCTTCTAGAAAATATAAATTAATAATAAATATACAAAGTTTATCTGTCAAATAATTTTTGTACCCCATCCACCACGTCAGTATCAGTATCAGTAAGTATTTACTAATTTAAAATATGTCTTTTGGCCTATGAATCAGTGTAAGTTTGTAAAGAATATATTTTAAATCTTGTTCCTCTCTGTAAATACAGAGGGCATTCTAGCAATCAGATAATTTTTTGTGTACCTATGCTTTATTCGATACATCAGCAGCATTGTAATATTTTTTTACGTTGTCTCCCTTTATTAGTATTTATCTATTACGCAGCGGAGCATCCACTGACTTTAGAGATTCATTCGTATCAGCGGAAACTGTTGAGGATCGCTGGTGTATCGGTTTAAGAGCAGAGCCGTTCATGAAGAAGAGGTCGCCTTGAACTCGATGTCAGTGACTCTCGGTCAACGGCGTAGCCCCTCGTCCCCGTGCACTGTGCCAGTGGCTCCGCGGGGTTGATCTATCGGCTACGATACAAGGTGCGATAAAAATATCCTGTATATTAATTTCTTCATTTTGCTCGTGCATCTGGTTTCAAGATCAATCAATCAAGATAAACCTAAAGGTGGCGGCACAAAAAAAAAACGCGACGCCCTAAATCAACGTATGTGAACCAGTGTGTGAGGTCAGCGTAACGAATTTACTACAGTTAAAAAATCGAGACATGTCTGAAACTAAAAAATCATTGGTTCCTATGTTTGTCATGATCCAGGTTGACGTATACTAACAAAAATGATTCAAAATATTTTGTATTGTTAAGAAGTTATTTGTAAATACACCAACAAATTATGCTCACCTACTTAAGTTACCAATGGGCGAATGATCCTAGCAGTGTTGCCTAGGCCAGCATTTGGATTTGGACGTAATGAGAAATGTTTTAATGCGTTTATGCTCACATCAGTAAAAAAAATGCGTATGTGTTAGCGGGATTCATCGGATGATTCTAACCAAAAACAACTGCGGATTCAATTTAAGCTTCATACGATTACTACTTAACATAAACAGTCCACATGTAATTGGTTAAAAAACGTTTAAAAATGTACAGCGCAAACCGTTGTTCGTACGGTAACTGTAGTTTGACGTCCGTCATTGTTTTCAAGTTTGTTTTGCGTACCGACGACGTCGCTTCCGTGGTTTTCCGCCTGCGTGAGAACGTAAACAACGTAGTTGTATATTATAGTAATAAATTTATCCGACGTAGAGAAAGAACGGCACGTTTCTTTCAATGGTTTATTCACCTCTCTCTAACTGGTACCTTGCCTTCGCCTGAATAGGAGAGGTCAAATACCAGATGTTCATATTTTAATTACGGAAATGAAAAGCCTATATGAGACGTCTCGAAAACAGTTTGAAAAATGTTCATGCTAGGTGTATACAGTGTGATTTTTAAAACAATTATCTCGCAACTGCCACTTTATTGGCTACCACTGCTAAATCCAATCCAATTCAAAAATGTTAATAATAAATAACTACAACTTTTGGATTGGACAAAATTTGAATTTTCTATCTGAGATGGACTTAACTCCTAATCTCGAGATGCAGGTTAATACCCCCTATCTCCTATAAGTTCTCAGCGCTTCCAAACATGCTTTGTGTCTCAATCAAATAAATCGACAGGAATCAACAATATATAAATAGCTATTCAGCAAAATGGAAAACGAAAATAGTAAGTGCGCCTGTTGTCGTACATTTAAGCTCTGCTTACCATGTCGAAAACATTTGTGATTTTGTCTGCAAACAAACCGTTATAAAAGCAGCAGTTGCAATTCGAATAACTAACATAATGCACTACCATACTAAGTAATTTGTACATCGAATAAGTCTTTTCATTCAACAAATCTAGAAGATTTATTTTTAACACTATTTCATATACCTACAAGCTATATCCACCTGTAGAGTCTGAGTTCAAATCCAAAAATGTTATTGGACGCGTTTGCCGGATCTAAATTGCCTTTCAAATTTTCAAAAATTTCTTTTTATAATGTACAGCCGCTTCAGAAATGTGTTATAATTTTCCCAATCCTGGTTTATCTGTCCCAAGCAACACCAAAAAGGATAAAAAACAATTACTAAACTAAAATTACGTTTATTTTCGGTTATGGCCACGCAGTGGCGGCTCGTGGGAAAAATTTTAAGGTGTTATACATTTCTTGCAAAAAAAACTTACCTTAACCAAAAAACGGAGAGTTATTAATTTTTTGCAATTGTTTGTTCATGACCAACTTCAAGCATGCACTGTGGGAGTGCTCTTAAATATCGAAAAATTTTTAGGTATTCGCTTAGGTATTCCGGGATTCTCGAAAGTTTCGCGATCATCATGTCCCGGATAGCTGCGCAAAATTTAATACAATATTTAACACATTTTAATTATGTTGCTGCATATTTACCCAATAAGCAGAATCTAATTACGCTCTAACATTGGATTACCCTAATAATGCAAATTCTGTACAGGTTCCACTGGTCGATTTTGACTACGCGTTCGGCGGCATTTCCATTGCAATTTTTTATCATTATGACGATGCGAATGCGAAAAATTATGAATTTTATTGCCGATAAAAGAAAATATTTTAGTGAGCCTGTTTAAGTATGATTTGTTTCTGTGAGTTCTTAATTTTTTGGGAGCTCTGCACCACTGCAACGCATATGTACCGTTCCTGTACAAATGTCAATTTTGAAATACGTATTAAAAATATATATAATGTACTAGTAGTAGTTTTAAGTACTTACTAATTACGCGATTTCGCTATTTCTTTATAAACATTTTTTATATACGGTTTTATAGAAAGAATAATATTGCCGATGATTACACATTTTCCATAAATATATTATTAATATGAATATTAGCCTTTAACAAATGCATTTCATAAACATTTTTTAAATTTCGTAGCCCAATGATATTATCAATATAAGTATAGAATAAAGAACAAATAAACATTAGCCTGTTTAGTTATAATTAACAAAATCCCATTAGTTATAGTCAAATATACAAGTTTATTAATGTTTTATAACTGTGTGAATATACTATTTACGAACGCATCTTCGGCACATTTCGGCATTAGGATCATAGATAACAAATCGAAGCTCTCCATGTAGATCATGTGACCTTAATTGCGTCTATCAGTTTTTCGATGGCGTCGGTCTGCCGCATGCAGGTGTTACGAATTTAGTGTATTAAAACTAACCAAAACCAGATATCAACCTGGTCCAACATCAATACGAACAATTATTGATAG